TATTAAGGAACATCGTCGATGCACCCTGGTATTGTCGCAATACTGATCTTGATAGAGATCTTAAAGCGGAGACTGTTGAAAATCCAATAACTAAAATGTACTAGTCATCAACAATGATTGTTCTAACATGGAAACCTTTAGATTATCCAGCTCCCCAGACAACACACCAAATCCCAGAGATATCCACAGAATATCTTTTGTGGATATCCAATATATCCACAGGATATCAGAAATATCCCGTGGATATAATGTGGATATCCAAATGTCCGTCTATATCGAGAATATAGAATATATCCTATGGATATCCAGCAAAATATCTAATGGGTATCTCTCAGACAATACAAGAAATCCCAGAGATATCCACAGAATATATTTTGTGGATATTCAATATATCCACAAGATATTTTATAGATATCCAGTGGATCTAATATAGATATCCAAATGTCCGGCTATATCCAGGATATAGAAGATATTCTATGGATATTCAGCAACATATTTTATCCTTATAAGGAATCTTCCGCAATAAATAAAAATTCTCGTTTCCAGTCTCTAATGGAGTCTGATTGCAATACCAATTTCGGTCGAACTCAATTACGGCGGGTTGAGCATAAGTAGATATTCAACGAGCGAAAGTGGTATCGCCATCTATACTTAGTAAGCAAAATCAAAGGTCGCTGTAGTACCTAGTTCACAGACTAGGTGGAATAAAAGCCAGGCGGGTTATTCTTAAAAAAGGAAGTAATTCTAGTCCTAATAAGGACGAAACCGGTCCAAGAATGACTTTCTTCTTAGTGGGCAAAATCAAAAATTACATCTAGTGGATATCCACCATGGTTTGCGTTCGCGCCTAGACTTTGATATATTTAGTTGATGTCCATGGGATATTGAATACATCTTAAAAAAAAATTAATTTTAAATATCTTAATGGTACTATTAGCCACAATGGCGTAATGCGTAATTTTTTAATAATTTGCTATATAATTACTATAATTTATGGACATTTGCATGTCTATAAATTACATCTCATGGATATAAAATAGATATCCACCATGGATTGGACATTCAGAGGATATTGGGATGTCCAGTAGATATCCAAAGGATTTGGTGTGCTGCCTGGGTCTTCAACAATGTCATTCTAATAAGAAGACTCAAGAGAACCAAGAGCCTTTTGAGTTAGTTCAGCGATGTTAGATTATAGCAGAGTATAGTGCTGTTAAGTGTTATACGTTAACGGTACTGTAACTAAATAATTAGACTCTAAGGTACAATAGTGAGTAGAATCTTAGTTTATGAAGTTTTTCATCCCTAGATAGGTAAGTTAGGTCAGAATAAAATTTCTAATTGATCTTAATGATCAGATTGTAATAATCGTAAATGTTTCTTTACTTGGGGCATTTATAAAAAAAAACCTATTTGTTTCAGATTAGTGCATTTAAAGGAATTGGTGGAAATGAAGCGATTCGCCTTTATATTTTATAAAATAATGTTAAAAAATTATTTATTTATTTGTTTGTTTAAGAATCAATGTTTGAGAATAAACATTTTCACGAGTATAGTTAAGTCCATCCGTGGACACACTGTATAATTCTGTAGAGCTAATTCACATTATAACATCTATAGAACGTTTCAGAGCAACTTTCAGGGTAAGTACCGTAAAAGTGCCAGTGTAATGTTTTCCGAACTTCACTTTTTAACCTCTGTGAGATGTGCTATAAAAGTCCTGCTGCTGTGGACATTCGGCGGTTGCAGGGATAATAGGGTTACATTAAAAGTACATTGCTTGTTAGCTTAAAGAGCCTAAAATTGCAGTTTATTAATGGAGATGGTATGTTTGTGTGCTAGCTGGGTAGCTTTTTTGTTATGCCGGAGCCCTAGCATGCATGATATAACGCACACTCAGTAATAAAGTAGCATAAATCAAAATTTGCATGTTTAAACTTTTAATCGTAAAACAGCACAAAATGGCGCCCTCCGTATGTGGAACTTTTTAAATGACGTTGCTACTCTAACTCAAAACGTACTGCGTTGGAGTAACACCGTCATTTAAGAATTTCTACACATGGAGGGCACCGTTTTGGTCCGTTTAACGATTAAAAGTGTAAACATGCAAATTTGAGTTATGCCACTTTATTACTGAGTGTCCGATAAGTGTGTGACCATAGAAAATAAAAAGTGTGCCACTCTTAATTTAAAATCAATTTTCGACCAAAAATGACAACAGAATTCTGTAATCTGTATCAATCCAGTAGGCGCTCACGTTTTTATTTTTAGCGAAAAATTATTCTTTACTTTTTAGTACACTTTAATATAAGCGTGCTTTAAAAAAAATCTTTTTATAATTATTTTCTTTTTTTTTAGTAAAAGTAGGAAAAATATATTTCAAACATGTACCACCATCTATGTCTTATTAGACTCAACCCAATAGTGTAATTATTTGTTGATAGATGGCGCCAGTATCCCAATATATTTTTAAAAAATATGGGACATTTTTGTTTTTAAATTATCCACCTCCTCAATAACTTAAAAAGCGAAATTGTTTTATTAGATTTTGTAAATATCAATACTGGCAAGCGTCTCTGAATCATTTAACACCTCAAAAATCATGAAACAGTGGTGTTCGTCTCTATAATAGGATCACAAAAAATTAAAAAAAAAAACAAATTTTGGAAGTGATTGAATAAAACATGGGAAATTCTTGTTTTTTGTCAAATAAAAAAGTTTCAGTGCCCAAATCGCAGTTTTTTGTATAAATTATTTTCACTATAATAATGTGTCGTGAAAACATGTGTCCGTAAATAGGTACTCCCAAACGATTGATTAAGGAAATCATTAAAAAATGATCTGTGTTGAATGATACAAGAATATTCCTAATTCAACAAAAGTAAAAATACAAAAGCTACAATAAAAAAACCATTTTAAAACACATGTCCAATATTGAAATATATCTAAATTTCTCAAAAATATATTGGATCAAAAATGTCATAATTTATGAAATTCAACACTGCGCCATCAATCAAAATATAGTCACACTATCGACGCCTATTACGACATAGATGGCGCTACATGTTTAAAAAACAATAATTATATAAAACAATATATATTCTTTTTTAAAAACTACGCTTATATTAATGTTTACTAAAAAGTAAAGAATTTTTCGACCAAAAATAAATAGTGAGGGCCTACGTATTGATACAAATTACAGAATTACCTAGCGTTATTTTTGACCAAAAATTGATTAAGAGTTAGGTACATATCTATATAAGGCAGTGACGGCTAGTACATAAGTGCATTAGAACAGCATTACTGCCAAAAAAAATGCAAGTCTCATCTACATTTAACAGAAATTATTTTAGAAATTCTAAAATATACGTAAAATAGATTGTATGGATAATCTCATTAATTTTAATTAACTAGTTGACAACCACTTTACCTAACCTGTGTGACCTGGAGACATCACAGATTGCTTCGAAGAAAATTATACATAATAATATAATGAGAAATATTAAAAAAATACCAATAATTTACCTAACCTGTGCGGTCTGGAGCCATTGAGGGCCGCTTCACAAAAAAATATAGATAAAATGAAAAATAACTATAATTTACGTTCATATGCGATTTCAATCAATTGTTCTAATTTCGATTTTATTTGGTTTCAATCTTTTCAAACTCAATTTTGTCATTCGAACCTTTGTATTTTAGAATTTTTATAGTTTGAACTATTATGTGAGTAAACTCGAGGTTCCAGATTCGATCTCTGACTAAGGCACATTTATCAATTTTTCTTTAGTTCCTTTTCACCCAGAGGTTGTAAAAATAGATTCATATTTCATCAAAGGAATTGAGGTGTTATTTTCCAAAAATTGTCGACTTAAAAATATGTTAGACATCCTACCGAAGTACATCCAACAATGTAACTAAATTATATTCATGCATATGGAAAAAGGTTGGCAAAGAAATAGGAATAGTAGACATTTCACTTTAGTTCCCTCGAACTAGATAAGATTACCTTATAATGGCTACTGTATTTGTACAACACAAGCTCAGTATTCTTTTAAAATTAGTAATAAATAATATTAACACATTTTTTTCCCACTCAGATATCTATAACTATAATACAAGGCACAAAGATAACTTAGTCCCCATCCAGTATAGACTGGAAAGGACAAAGAAACATTGAGCTATACAATATACTACCACTTAATTTTAGAAATCAGCCTATAGATAAATTTAAACATACATTAAAAGAAATTTTATCCAATAATTGCCTATATAGCTTAGAGGAATTTAAATCAATACAGATAGAGGATGTCACTGTGACCTGTGAGTGATTCAGTGAACTATGTTGTAAATTTCAATTTTATATTATTATATTTAGGTAAATTTTATTATATATATTTAGTTTTAATTGTAATTTGAGGAGCCATAAAATGTAATATTTTCTCAGGTAAATACAGACATTGTATTGTATTAAAATAATTTGTAGATGCATTAAATTTGAACATATTTTGGGCCTATGCCACATTGCAAGGTTTCTTCAGGGTAAGGTTAACGTTTCACTTTCTTCTAGTATACCAAAATACTTTCAGTTTAAAAATAAATTAGAAACAGATTGACAAAATAGAGAAAAATAGAAGTTTGTAATTATGATACTACAATGCGATGAACTAATCAGGACCAATCATAAGACATTTATAAAATAAATCTATCATGTGTGGGCAAAGGAGTATAAGTCAAAATTTTTGGTAAATTAGTTTGTCATCTACACTTAGTACAAAATGTGGGATGTCAATAGATTCTATTAGGACTTGGTCTTTATAATATAAATTACAAAAATACTTTCTTTTTGTGGAAAAATCAATATAAATCAACTTATAAGACATAACATAGATATACTCAACTTTTAATTTTTTGTCTTATACTCCTTTGCCTACCCATAATAGAAATAGGCAAGTATATTACTAAAATTGATATAAAAACACAAAATTAAATATTTTATTAATTTAATCTCTTTCATACAGATTCGAATACCTCATTTTAGAACGTAATTCATCATCTTCATTGGCATTTAATGTTTTAGGAGGTATCATAGCACCAGCTACATTTCTACCTTCAGAATTTAAGAAATTAAATGTAGCACAAGCTTGTTCTGTAGGCAAAACTTCCAAAGCCATTTTATATTTTCTCGTAAATGGTAATATTTTGATGTAGAAATTAAAATTGTCTAATTTATCACCTACGCCTAAAACTAATATATCTATTTTTGGTTCTATGACGGCAAAAAGGCTGAATGATTCTTCTGTAATTTCGGAAACATCATTGACATTCCAAGATAACACTGACCTATAAAAAAAAATCAAAATTTTGAAACAAGCTTTTGTATTTGAAATAATTATTTTACCTTGGAAAAATCACCATAGATCCTAGAACTGTAAAATCGTTGTTTAACCTAAATCCAACCTAAAAAATGACATTATATAAGAATTAACAAAAAATGGTAAATCATTGTTCTTACTTGACTATATCCATCTATCATAAGTCCTAATTCTGAGTCCTTATTTAGGACATGTACTGTTGTTTTTCCAGATGCTTCATAAGCACCGGGTATATTAAGATTAGGACTTTTATGTACATTTCTCCTAAAAGTAAAATAAATTAATTTGTGTTATCAAATTTAAATTGCGTTGCATACCTAAATTGAGTTTTCACTAAATTATATGTAATACTTTTTAAATGTCTTAAATAAGTCATTTTTTTCTCATTTTTTAATGAAATAAACAAATAGTTCTTCTAACACATAACATCTTAACCTATAAATTGTTCAGCATAATCGATTGATTCGATTTTCGATTGCTAATAACTAACAATCGGATACCGGATTAATCGAAATTTTTGCAGTAAAAAATTGTTTGTCAACGTTGCATGAAACCTTAGAATATATATAGTCAGGAAGGAGGAATCCTAAACGACCTTGGAATCGCGATGGTATCTAATTTTGACAGTGTACTAGACGAATATGGCGACAAGTGTTTCCGGTCTACCAGTGACGTACTGTCATAAAGGGTCGTAGAAAAGAAAATAATAAATTCTCATTTGCATATTATCTAAATTTACCGATTCCTTTCATTTTAATCAAACTCATCGTGTTACGTATTTGTTGACATTAAAATATAGACATTTAAAGTGACGTCCTGTATTACTTCGATTGAAAAATAATTTTCTTACCTAAGAAAAAAGTCCGGGTCGGGACCAGGCCAACAACGGACCCAGGTTCGTCAGATGGGTATGCATTAAGGAAATAACAGCAAACCGTATGGAGACAACGGAAAGTCATCAAATCTTTAAAGAGAATGATGCTGGAACTCAAGAAAAAAATTGCTTATGGAGGAAGAAGAAAATGTTGTTTTGGAAAATTTTGGAAATAATAAATTGTTGAACGACTATTTTGGAAAATCTTGGGCAATACATTCATCGAAATATTTTGCAATTATACTACAATATCATTAAACAATATAATTGACTAGGTAAAAATTTTATAAATCATTAAAAATAATGTTATTAAATTGCAAAATCCTGAAATATAATTATCCACTTTTAAAAAGACTGTTTCACTGAATTTTTAATATAATAAAAATATTACACTTTCAAACAATATAAATATGATACACCACTGGTAAATACTAATGTAAAGTAGCCATTTTGGATAACCAACCCGGTTAACTGACTTTGGCGTAACCATTCTTCCACATTACTTTATATTCTAAAGATATAGCTAAAGTATACTGATCACTGAACTGTAATAGTTCTTTCAGTGGTATTGATCCAATATATCAAACCGTTTTTTGCCTACTGAACGCATCCGATTGAGATGTGACTAACTTCATAGCTAACTTTATATATTCTGACAGCTGACAGCACTGACGGTTGACAATTGACATTTATGAGGTGTTTTGCAACAAAAAATTGCAAGATTTGGACAATATGATATAATTTAACAATTTCGTGTTTTCCAACCACTCATCAATCTTCATAATTGTCACCAAATCACTTGTTATGATAATAAAGCACAATGGATAACAACGATCAGGAAAACAGAGTTGGTACATCACAAGAAGACAGGACTACTACTACTACACAAGGTACGGGTACTCAAGTCCAAAACAAGGATTCGGCTAGATATTGCTGGGTTTGTTTTGCTACAGATGAGGAAGATAGGGATGCCCAGTGGGTGCAGCCGTGTAATTGCAGGGGAACAACAAAATGGGTATGTAGAAACATGTTTTTTAAATTCATATCAGGAGCTATTCAAATATAAAAAGTAAAATAATTATACAATATACTGAAGTGCCAACAATAGAGATTGTTCCATTATAACAGAATATATTTACTTTTAAAAGGATGTATATTGAACCCAGCAGATATAGATATTATTCCTAAGGGGACATGCTAATTCATTATTTCATCAAGTAGAAAGTAAAAGTTTTTTAATTTATTTATAACATTTGATATTCAGATGGAATAGTAATTAACTTTCTAACTTGTAAATTTTTAGGTAATATTATAATTTACAGAAATTTATTAAATTTTATGAACTGAATTGAAGTGTATCCCAATATGTTATAAAATGTAAAACAAATATTACAAAATTCAGTAGCAGTTACTTTACAAATATTGTAAATAGTTGAATTTTATAATATATTTAATTTCTTCAAAAAAATATACTTATTACCATTAATACAAGATAAGGTGATGTCACATTTGGTAATTTTCATTGTGTGTCATATCAATATTCTGCCTAGGTACTTAAAAAATGGGATTTTTTTAAATGTAAATATATGAATATTTATGTTTCTTATGTTTAAGATAAACAGTGTATTTATTTCAAGATATAACTAATAACATTCAAAAAAATATAATATTTAAAGATTAAAAAGTTTTTCTTTAATTTTAATTGTTTGTTTTGAAGCAGTAAATAGTTATTTTCTTTTTCTGCATATTTTAGTCGGTCTGTTTCATTATGCCAGATTCAGTTTTTTATAACTAATCAGGTTTTTACATGTTTTCAAAAGTTTCATTATATACTTAAACCATTTTTATCACCATTAAACTTCATGTGCAAAAGTGTAAGAAAATTTGCTCTTAACAATTATTTTTCTTTTAATAGGTTCATCAAGCCTGTTTGCAGAGGTGGGTAGATGAAAAACAAAAAGGGGGTAACATTGGTAAAGTTAGCTGTCCTCAATGTCAGACAGAATATATAATAGTTTTTCCAAATATGGGGGTTCTAGTTTTAGTGCTAGATACAGTAGATAGTTTTATTTACAAAGGCTGCCCCTTTCTAGCGGCAGGTATAGTTGTAGGAGCAATCTATTGGTGTGCTGTGACCTATGGAGCTATAACCATTATGCAGGTAACTAAGAGATTATTCAGATAACTTATGTAGTGATCGAAAAACTGTTTCTAAAGTTAGCCTTGGAAAAAATCACTGCAATTTACAATTATTATTATTCTGTTTTTTTTTAACTACAGTTTTGATTTAATTCAAAGCCATGTTAAGTTATTACTGATCATGACTGGCATCTCTGTTTTTGCCTACTTTGGATTTAAAATCAGATAATGTGACATTTGTTAGTATTTAAATTCATGCTATTACTAGAGCACCACTTGCTAGTTTGTTTAAATTCGATTGTAAAACCTGAGTATCATAATCATTAATGATCTTGAAGCACTTCATGTCATCTGCAAACAATATAGCTTTAGTGTCATGAAAGTAAGTTATGATATCATTTATAAACAGGTTGAATAGTAGCAGTCCTGAGTGGGACTCATAAGGGACACCTGAGGTTACTAGGAAACTTTAAATGTGACAAAAGATAATTCACAAAATACTCTAATTTTAAGTGGTCACTGGTTAATAGAAAATAGACTGTTAATTGGTAATTAGAATTGAACCAGCTATAATTTATTATTGACTGAATAAGTATTTAACAATTCCTAATACAATTTTTACATTCGGTAAAAAAAATAAATAAAAATTGCAACCAAAAAATTCTCATAATGCTCATACCTACTATATTATTAACTGTTATTTTGACAGATTTTATTTAATTAGAAAAATTTATCTAAGTAGCCTCCAATAAATACATAGTATATACATAACTAGTAATAATGATACTATTAGGGATAGATATAAAAAACTCAAAATAATTTATGATAATGAAGTCAAATCAGCAAAACTTTCCTATAATAATAAAAGGGTAATTAATGCAAAAAAATCAACAAAAGAATGTTGGAGAATTGTAAATGAGGCAAAAGGAAAATCAGTAAAAAAATTACTCATCGAGATGCTAAATTGTCAAGGCAACAAAATTTCTGGTGAACAAAATATATGTAATGCTTTTAATAATCAGTTTACTGATGTAGACTATCTTCTACTAAATTATAGGCTTCAAGATTTTTCTGTAAGTACTCTATTTTTAACTCCAACTACCCCAAAGGAAATAACAGAAATTATACAGAAAACAACTTGTAAAAAATAATGAAATAAATGGAACAAAATTGTCTTTTATTGCTGAAGATATTAGTGTACTTATGTCGTACCTTATAAACGAGTCTTTTTTATGTGGTGACTATTCTAGCATATTAAAAAAATCAAAATCCATTCCTATATATAAAAATAAAGGGTCTGTAAATGACATGGCAAACTATAGGAACATCTGCATTCAAAGTCAACTGGCTAAAATATTCGAAATGGCCTATCTACGGAAACTTAGTTGATGGTAGCTTTTTATATTATAAATATATTTTCTCAGGGTGTCTCAAGGATCTAATTTTGGCCCCCTACTAATTTCTTATATATAGTTCAGAGTTTCCAAAAGTAGTAATAGTGAAATACAATTTCATGCTGATAATACACAAATTATTTATTATTTTGACCTCTTCGCGTTTTCTAAATACTAATAATAATATTTCAAGTTGACCATGACCAACAAAGACATATATGAGTCATGTCCGTGATAACTACGCAGAGATCTGTATTAAAACCGAACTGGCATTAGAGGAATAATTGTACGCTCCAAAATATGTGAATTTTTCCAAAGGCCTACTCCTACTCCTTATAAATGTGGATTTAGATGCAATTTTTAAGAGAATACAGTCTCTAAAACAACAGCAATATTAGTATGTAGTAAATTTATGCAAAGAAAAAGTTTAAACACGGCTCGAGATGGATGAAGAAAGGAGCAAAATTATGGGATTAATCATAGACTAATCATTTAAATTTAAACTTTTGTGAATCTTTGGTTTTCTCAATGATAAATTACTGCATTATGTGCACTTGAAAATAAAATTCCTGCATATTTCTTTGAAAAGTTACTGTTAGAAATTCTATCCACAATAGTTTTGATTTAATACTCCTACTATGGCACATAATTCAACTGCTCTGTTTGAGTATTCTTTTACTTATAATTTAGATTACATGAAAAATGTTAGTGACTTCCATTTAAAAAATTGCTGGATAAATAATTAATTGTAATGTAACCTTTTAATTTTTAGGTAATTGGCCAGAAAGAAGGCTTGACTATAATGGAACAAGCTGATCCATTAGTATTATTAATAGGCCTGCCTGCTATTCCAGTGGCTCTAGTTCTAGGTAAAATGATCAGATGGGAGGATGCCTTGCTTAATTTTATGAGGAGGAATTTGTCAAAAATTCCAATTGTTAGAAATTTTTTGCCATTTAGGTAAGGATATATTGAAATACTTAAAAGTCTACTACATGCCCACAACTTTCTATCTGTTAACGTTCTAAAAAATTAGCAATACTGTTCCAATTTTAGAAATATGAGTTTCCCATTTTTGAAGATATAAAAACACCAAGATCTTTTGGACTGTAACTGTTAGAAGTCTTTTTCTATTGTTACAGAATATACTATGAATTAATATGTTTTTCAGTGGTTGTTCCAGATTTGAATCTCCAAATAATCCGGACACAGCAAACGAAGATATTCCACCCCTTACAAATCCAGTTTCTGCTACTAGAGTACTATGTGGAGCACTATTACTACCGACGATAGCTAATATGTTTGGAAAATTTTTCTTTGATTCCATTAGATCCAATTTCCACAAAACGCTTTTAGGAGGACTCACGTTTATAGCTATTAAAGGATGTTTGAAAATTTATCACAAACAACAGCAATACATTAGGCAGTGTCAGAGAAAAATTTTGGATTATACTGAATCTAACATTACCACTTATTTGCATAGAAGAGCTGAGGAATAAAAATGTTAAAAAAAGATATTGTAAAAGGAGATTTTTGAAAATAATTAAATAAAAATTATGAAATTTTGTTTTGTACAGTGTTTTTAAAAAGAGTAGGTATGGTATTGTTAAAAACTTCAAAGTTGATGCATCTTTGGATATTTCGTTTTATTTTTTGAATAAATGTTTTTAAAAAATTTATGTTAACAAAGTCATTTATCCTTTTCCGATCGAAAATATATTTTCCAAAATAAGATTCTTTTTAAAAATCCAAGAAATTACGGAACATTAGTTTTAAAGGCAAAAAATTACAAAAAAGTAATGCGGGTGAAATGCACATTTTTCACCAGAATGTACAGTCTTTGGGAAATGCAGCTGACAAACTAGAAGTTTTTGTAAATAAACATGAATGTAAAATCTTAGCTATTACAGAATATTGGAAATCAATGGAACAATTTACAAGAAATTGGTATAAAAAATTATAATCTAGCATCAGCTTTCTGTCGAGAAGAAAATAAACATGGAGCAGCAGCAATTTATTGTCAAAAAGTACAAAAATTTAAAGAAGTAAAAAGAATAACAGAATTGTCAATTAGTAAAGAATTTGAAGTAGCCGCAAGTGAATGTTTTATAGAAAGAGACCAAGTGCTTGCTATTGCAGTTTACAGGCATGGAAATGGAGATTTTTATGAGTTTTTAAATAATCTTGAACCGCTTTTAACATATGTTTATAATTATATTAAATTAGTGTTTATTTTAGGCGACTTTAACATAGATTTAATGGAAGACAAAACCCAAAAGAAAGGATTTTGTAAGTTTACTTGATTCATTTAATTTTAAAATATTAATAAATTAACCCACGCGATTAAAATAAACAGAAAAAGTGGCTTAGATAATATTTTATCAAACTATAAGGGCAATTGCTCAACAATGGTGGTAGAATTACATTGTTTGGATCATATTGCTCAGGTAATGAAAGTAATAATGTCAATACGGTTTATCACATTTATCTTAGATATTTTCCAGAGGAAAACATACAAATATTCCTTTTAGAAGCAAGACTAACTGGGATGAGATAGTCAATGTAAATAGAAAAACAATGGAACTTATTCATTAATATATATTTAGAGCAATTTAATAAAAATGTTCCATTAAATTATGTAACTATAAGGAAAAACGCAAAAAATATCAGCTTACACAAAATATTAATGTCATGGGAATGTCTAAGCCGTCCCTGTAGCGAGCGACCTTTAGCCTGCTACCCGACTCATGATCGAAACACCGCTGCAGATCGCTTTTCGAATTACCAGAAAAAGCAACACGTGGCCGTTGAGTCATGAGATGGAATTTTCGGGTGACATTCGAAAGCGTCTAGAAACTACGAGTACAGAGTGGGCTTTGTATAAATAGCGCAAGTTCGTCTACGAACGAGTAGTTTAGAATAAAGTATTGGACTGAAAATATTAATTGTAATAAATAAATTAGAATTGTGAGTTATAGTGCCTAAGTATTATATAAATTAATTAGTACGTCATAAATAAATTGTATAGTGTGTTATAAATAAATTAAACTATCGTCACATTAATATAAAAAACCATCATTATATAGTACTAATTTTAGCTAGGAACAATGGCATGTATAAGGTTCCATACAAATTATTAAAGAAACAATATGATGACTTACTATAGGTGAATAAAAAAGATGGTTACGATAAAAGAATGTGATTATCTCACATTAAAACTAAATGTTTATGGGGTATATGTAAAGAAATATGATATGATCTTCACGAAATTTCAAACAATAACAATATTTTTTTATCAAAAATAGTCCCCGAGAACTCCTAGATAAACTTCCAGATGTTCCATATATATGTGTCATCCATAGAAATAATATAGAAGACCAATATAACATTTAAGCAGAAATTGAAACCTACTGTGCATAAAAACGCGTCTCTGCGCCTGACATCGCAAAATAGCATAGAGGTACCTTATAACTCCATGCAAAATAGTGTGTCTAGAAGCATGCGCAGTATGCATGACTTGTCCCTGTAGTGTTACCAAGTATATTAAACAGAATTTCAAATTTATTTATTTATTATTAAATCATATGATTTAAACAGTTTACATTTACGAAATATCGCCACAAAATAACCTATAACATTTAAATCAACTAATAATATTTAGGTGTAATTACATTCCCAAAAATATATACAAATACGGTATTAATATCCAACAAGCGATTCACCTACAAATTCAATATTGACCTGGCAATACCACCCCGAGTTTCAAGGCTATATGACGCTACCCTTACAGGACCGTTTGTGATATTTTGGCTTAAATTTGTGGTTTATTATTTAATTACACGGTGAAAGTGGCATTTTATTTTTAGTTCTGTGTAGTACTAAAGTTAAATCCTAGGTACAATATGAAAGACATTTTTACATTGGCTAATAAAAATCTAATCAATGTATTTAGCAGCTGTTATATTTATTACAAGTTTTATGTTTGAAAATATCTAAGAATTATAATTATGTAAATAGGGAGCTGTATATTTATATACAGGCTGCCCAGCGACGGAGAGACATTATCGGTATCTCACAAAACAATGAATGACTGTTAAAAATAGTAAACAGGCTATGATCTTTCCTATTAAAATATTCTGACAGTTCTATTATTTTCGTTTTATTTTAAATGAGATGCCACTTCTATTATTCCTGATACCGATGGAACATGAAATGTTGCTTATTTGGAATACCTTTACACAGAGACCTTGTTTCAGTCGGGTATTATTTAAAATAATTTGAAAATTAACCCCATTAAATTGTACCTTTACCTAACATTTATGGCATCACTGGCCGAGATGGCATCGAGGTGTATTTTCAAATGTAGAAACTGAAAATTGACCCTATTAAATTGTACCTTTACTTAACATTTGTAACGCCACTGGCGGAGTTGGCATGGGGTATACTTTCAAATACAGGTTTCAAGGCATATTAAAACAAACCCGATCTTAACAAACTTAGTAAACTCTTCTATCACTTGATATTTAAATCGTTACTTCCTCTTCGCTTTTTGAAAAAAAATCGAAAATGTTCATTAAGAAAATTGCTAAATTCTTCACAAACATCCAGAAAAGGAAAGCGTATCATGTTTATAGTAGAGAAGAGAGAGAGAGAGAAAATTATGGATTACCGTAATTAGGTGGATCAATGCAAAATCTAGAAAAAAAACTGATTTTTCAGATAGATCGCTGTAATTGCATATTTGAATGTAATTTTCAATTCTAATCAGCTTTTCTTAATGAATTTTTTTTGATTTTGTCAAAAATAAACGTACTTTACTCTTGAGCAAAATTCATATTTTTTGACAAACATCGTATACGGCTTGAAAAATTTGATATCTGATGACTGTATTCTAGGTGAGGAAAACCCCACCCACCATCATCCAAAACGGTAACGCATGGTGATTTTTAATAATCTGGATGTCATATCATCAGAAATTAAATTTCTGCTGATACGGCATCCATCAAATCCTATAGAGAACCATGCAAATTAATTCACATGGTCTTCCGTAGGATTCGAAACCGTGTCTCGTTTACCAGAAAATTGGCTCGCAAATGAATGCGACGCCGTAGACACGTGCGCTACCGTAGTCGATGACTATACTATTTCTATGGATAAAACTTGTTCGTATTATATATAGAGTGTTTTGAAACATATCATAAAAATATGGCTCATTTAAAGTTCAATTTTCTCAATGCATAACTCAATATATTACTTTAGCATTAAATTTGTTATGAATTTACCTATTTTATGTCATCAAATAATTTTAATAGACTTAACGATTTAGGGTGAGATTACAGAACGTCTGCAACTTTGCAGATCTGCAAATATGGCGGACTTACAAATTCAAGTATTCCAAAAAATATCTGCAAATTCGCAATATTTATTGTGGTTTATTACCCCCAATAACACTAAACCCAAATTTTGAATACGAAAACTTGATACTTGCAAGTGTAAGTCAGTCATATTTGCAGATTTTCAAAGTTGCCGCCATATTTGCAAAGTTGCAGACGTTCTGTAATATCTCCCTTAAATTTCTATTTAAACCGCGAGGCTATGGTTTTTTCATTTTTTTTTATTGTAATACTCTGTATGTTAATCAATTAAATTAAGTAATAATTAGTTTCTTAATTTTTATTTCATTTAGCATTCCTTATACCAAAACGCAATTTTTTTACTTTTATTTATAGTGGTTCATAATACTGTCGAAGAAATACAAAACCATTCATTAATTCTGACAAATAGATTATTAAAAATTACATTAGCATTTTACCCTAAATAGTTTCATCTTTTCAAAAGCCAATTAGAAAAATGTGAAAAAAATATGTCAATTATCATGATAAAACCAATAAAATGCGTTTGGGTATGGGGAATGCCGAACAAAATAAATAAAATTACTTTATAAATTAGTTGTTAACAACCAAATCCGTTATATGTAACAACCTAGAGAGTGTTTGGTTTAAATTAGTATAAGTTTCATTCGCTCTTCATTTTTGGACTACACTGTATATTTAAGAATATAGTCGTATTAAAAATGTATTCGTATATTCTATAATAAAATAGCTATCTATCAAATACGCACTGATAAGACACCTTGTATATGTATAATAGACAGGGCCGACGAGATCCAAGTGGGGCCCCAGGACAATTTTCCAGGTGGGGCCCGCGACAATTTTATAAAAAAAATTAAGTCCTTTTGATATCACATTTCTAAAAAAAAAACTAAAAAAAACAAAAAACAAAACAAATCCTGAAGTAAAAACTTAGATCCTTTTTAGTGATATCTCTAAAAAAAAAGTCCTCATCTTATATTTTACATAAACCAGTGCCCCTCCTTATGTGGCAAACATCTAAAAAAATAAAACGTCCTCAGCTAAAGCTGCCGGGCCCCCTTTGTTCCGCTACCGTACCCCCACTTGTGCCCGGACCCCGGGAATTTGTCCTGCCAGCCCCCCTCTCGTCGGCCCTGATAATAGGCTAAAATGTTAAATTTTTACGTTAGATTACACTATTGAAAAAAAAAAAAGACTCACCTT